GGTATGGTGTTCTTGGGATGCAACTCAGTATTCTTCGTCCTCCAAACACGACGAGCTGAGTTTATACCAAAAAGTTCTACTTTGGTTTCATCTGACCACATGACATTCTCCCAATCCTCTGCTGTATCATCCATGTGCTCTCTGGCAAACTTCAGACGGGCCTGGACATGCACTGGCTTCAGCAGCGGAACACGTCTGGCACTGCGGGATTTGATTCCCTGCCGTTGTAGTGTGTTACTGATGGTGACCTTTGTTACTTTGGTCCCAGCTCTCTGCAGGTCATTCACCAGGTCCCCCCGTGTGGTTCTGGGATCTTTGCTCACCGTTCTCATGATCATTTTGACCCCACGGGATGAGATCTTGCGTGGAGCCCCAGATCGAGGGAGATTATCAGTGGTCTTGTATGTCTTCCATTTTCTGATGGTTGCTCCCACAGTTGATTTTTTCACACCAAGCTGCTTGCCTATTGTAGATTCACTATTCACTCTTTGAGGCTGTGGACAGGTGTCTTTTGTACAGATTATGAGTTCAAACAGGTGCCATTCATACAGGTAACGAGTGGGGGACAGAAAAGCTTCTTACAGAAGACGTTTCAGGTCTGTGAGAGCCAGAGATTTTCCTTGTTTGAGGTGACCAAATACTTATTTTCCACCCTGATTTACGAATAAATTCTCTACAAATCCTACCATGTGGATTCATGGATTTTTTTTTCACATTCTGTCTCTCACAGTTGAAGTGTACCTCTGGTGCAAATTACTGACCTCTGTCATCATTTTAAGTGGGGGAACTTGCACAATCGGTGGCTGACTAAATACTTTTTTGCCCCACTGTATCAAATCCATCTCTAAATTTGCCTTCTACAACCTAAAGACTCTGCAGCTGAAACCCTCATTCAGGCCTTCATCACGACCTGCAGTGATGTACTGTTTATTCTGCCTAATAAAACCCTGGAAAAGCGACAGCAGTTCAGAACTTAACTGCCAGAGTTTTCCCTGGAAACACCCCCACCCTTGACAAAAAAAGATACTTTAGCCTAGCTGATAAAAAAAAAATCCCAACAGACTGAAAAACAACTTTTCATTCCAAAGCATAATGAACAAAAATCTGATCTGATCAAATTAAACTGTATTTGTATAAATGTATGTAAATTAAACACAGCTTGTGGAAAAAAGCGATGAAATTTATATTTTACTATGAAAAAAACTTGTGACGTCACATTTCCTTTTCTTTGCAATTTCCAAGTTTCCCCTGATATTTTATTCAGTAACCTTCTATAGCATTATCTTGCTTCATGTCTTCATTATGAAAAACAGTGGGTGTGTGCAGTGATTTCACGTACAGGGTCATGGTTAGGTTACTTGGTAGGAAGCTTTTTGAATAGATGCAAATACTCAGGTACTGACAACTAAACAGGAAACTGAGCTAAGAAAGAAAGGGAGTACCAGATTTTTCTTTCACAAGACTGATCATCAATCTGAGTTCATGATGCAGCTTTATGGAGCTCTGATCCTGTGTGTGACTCTGTCTGTCAATAAGAAAAATATTTCATGATGGTCATGCGTGCCTTGACAGATAAAGAAATGTAGTGGGGTTTAAAGATGATCTTAAAAGCTTGAAGGAAACTAAAAGGTTAAGTAAACACAAAGTTAGCAGGTCAATAATGAGTTATAATACTAGCTTAAGCGAACAGCAAACAACAACTGTTTAGTTTTACGGGTGTTACATTGATCCCAGATTTTAAAGTGAAAAAAAGGATAACAAATAAAAAAAAGCAAATCAAAATGAAAACGAAAGAAACATATTTCCAGTTATTATAAATGTATGAAAATGTCTGACATTGCGTTCTGCTTCATTCTACAGCACGCGGATTAATGTGCTATAGGTGCACAGTTGCGGACCCTAAACCCTGCACAAACACCACATCTTGTCCTGTCATCTCCAACCGTTGTTAGTCTGTCAGAATTGGCAGTGAGTAGTTCACTCGTTTTGGAAGTTTTCCCCTCATGTCTTGCAGGTGCTAACATAGTCACCAAGGGCTACCTTGGTATTGGCATTATGTTTTGGCCTGATTTATAACTTTTCTTTATGACTTGCTATAAAGACGACCTGTGTAACAGCGCCCAGTGCCATCCTGGTGCTGTTATCCTCAGGCATCATCAAATTCCTTTTCTGAGGCTTTTGGAATGATCTTTCCATGCTGCACTTTTTTCTGATTGTATTTTGTAGAACTAAGGATGAAAGAAACAGCTTTGGAGTGAAATGAGATGTATGTAGCCGGTGTATCAGAAAAACTCGGGAGAGTTTTCTCCAAGCATGACATCCCGGTGCATTTCAGACCCAGCAACACACTCAGACAGAAACTGGTTCACCCGAAAGACAAAACTCCAAAACACAGACTTAGCAACGTGGTGTATGCTGTACAGTGCAGCGAGGAATGCCCAGACCTCTACATTGGAGAGACCAAACAGCCACTTCACAAGCGTATGGCACAACATAGAAGAGCCACCTCCACAGGACAAGACTCAGCTGTCCATCTGCATCTTAAGGATAAAGGACACTCTTTCGAGGATGCCAATGTTCACATTTTGGACAGAGAGGACAGATGGTTTGAAAGAGGAGTGAAAGAAGCCATCTATGTCCACTGTGAGCGACCATCTTTGAACAGAGGCGGTGGTTTACGACACCAACTCTCTGCCATCTATAATGCTGGGCCATCTGACCTCAGGAATTTGCATGATAAGGTGGGGCCAGGTTTCACAATGAACTCACCTGAAACTCTGGCTGATTGGGACCCACGCCCAGTTTCACACCTTGGCTCAGGCGATTAGAGGATCATCAGGGGGTCCTTTTGTCCCTCTGTGGGGGATACTCCAACTAGGTTTAAATCTGGGACTCCCCACCATTTGACCTTAGAACTGAAGAAGCTTCTCAGATGAGAGGTGAAACGTCTTCAAGCAACTTAAAGAAGTCCAGACACTTTTCTTTGCAAGCTCCTTTGACTACGATGACCTGGATGACTGAGAACCTTCACAGACGTATAAAATGAAACAAAAACTGTTACTGCTATTTTCATCTGTCACTTAGAGAAGTTCAGACTTTGAGGAATTCAAATTATGTATTGCTTGAATGCAATGTTTTTCTTAAAGTAAATGAAAATGCAAACAGAAAATATATTTGCATGTTTATTTCAGTAGTTTGAACTAGGATTGAGAAGAAGGCAGGATTTCTTTTGTTTATTTCATTTTACTTAAGCAAAGTAGGAATCAAAGTAGGAGTGGAGAAAAGGGTAAATTTTAGGTCAGTAAGAGGAACTCGACATGAGAAAGTCACCACTTAAATATTTCCTAAACACGAAGCTTCAAATAACAGTTTTTAGCTTTCATTTTTATATAAAGTTGATCTGATTCAAGTTGAAGTTTCAAGCATCTTGTTTCCAGCTTTATTGGAAGCTTATAGCTTCTCATAAGATTTATGGTGTCATTTTTCAACACTATGCAATTCTTCTAAATTAAGGGGACATATTTTACTTAAGGATTATTATTTTTTTCTGATTCTCTGTATCAGTACCTAACAATACTTAACAGTTCCTTGTAATACTTGAAAAGCAGTTGATCAAGAGTTTAACAACTGCAGATTTAAGGGAAACGAGAAACAAAATTGAAGTGTTAACATAAAAGTCTTAAGTGTTAGTATTTGTTCATTAGTGAATAGCTTCAAGTATTTTACAGGAAAGAAAGGATGTATAAATTTCATTGGAGCGGGAATGAGGATCAGCACATCCAAATCTGAGGCCATGGTTCTCAGCCGGAAAAGGGTGGAGTGCCCACTCCGGGTCGGGGATGAGTTCCTGCCCCAAGTGGAGGAGTTCAAGTATCTCGGGGTCTTGTTCGCAAGTGATGGGAGAAGGGAGCCGGAGATCGACAGACGGATTGGTGCTGCGGTGCTGGAGTGATGCGGACGCTGCACCGGTCCGTCGTGGTGAAGAGGGAGCTAAGTGTAAAAGTGAAGCTCTCAATTTACCGGTCGATCTACGCCCCTACCCTCACCTATAGTCACAAGCTGTGGGTAGTGACCGAAAGAAAGGATCGTGGATAAAAGTGGCGGAAATGAGCTTCCTCCGAAGGGTGGCTGGCCTCTCCCTTAGAGATAGGGTGAGAAGTTCGGCCACCTGCGAGGGGCTCAGAGTAGAGCAGCTGCTGCTCCACATCGAAAGGAGCCAGCTGAGGTGGTTCGGGCATCTGACAAGGATGCCTCCTGGGCGCCTCCTGGCTGAGGTGTTCCGGGCATGGCCCACCGGGAGGAGGCCCCGGGGCAGACCCAGGACACGCTGGAGAGATTATATCTCTCGGCTGGCCTGGGAACGCCTTAGTGTTCCCCCGGATAAGCTGGAGGAGGTGGCTGGGGAGAGGGAGGTCTGGGCTTCTCTGCTTAGGCTGCTGCCCCCGCGACCCGGCCTCGGATAAAGCGGATGAAGATGGATGGATGGATGATTTAAAGTATTTGGCAAGAATCTGATGCATAATCTTAGTTCTTGTCTTCCCTTCCATAAATTGATAGTCTGACAGTGCTGACATTTAACAGGGTGTGGTTATTTGGGCACTTGCTAGGAGGCTTTTTGAAGAGATGCAAATGCTCAGGTCTGAAAAGAAATTAGGAAGTTGAGCTAAGAAAGAAAGGCTCAGCACTCGGAAGTATAGGAATCGAGAATCTGTTCTTGTGGAGAATGCATAAACTTCACACTTATGCTACTGTCCTGTTTTAAAGCTTTTTAAATGTAAAACAATATTGGGTTATCTCAAAAGGGCTATCTAAATAGAAGTTTTTATTTATTGTTATTAAATTATACGAGGAAGCTTTCCTGTCCTTTGGCTATGACTCACAGTGACTGACAGTGAGGGGGCGTGGTTATATGGATCACTTGGTAGGAGGCTCTTTGAAGAGATACAAAAGCTCAGGTTCTGAAAGCAAACATGAAAGTTGAGCTGAGAAAGAAAAGATTAGCAGCAGCTTTTTCTCTCACGAGACTGATCAGCAATTTGAGTTCATGATGCAGCTTTATGGAGCTCTGATCCTGAGTGTGACTCTGTCTGCAGGTAAGAAAAATATCTTTAAAACCAACTGTTTGTGGTTTTAAAGATATGTAGAATACAGCAGACTTTAAAGGAGTCATTTCTTGGTAAATATTGGGGCATAGAAAACAGGCTTAAAAATACAAACATATTTACTTATTTTGTGGTCAGTAGAGGAATATTTTACAGACTGAGAAGACTTCTTAAGATTTCACTTCTTATATATGACCCAATTTCTGGCAACTCTCTCAAAGGGCATAAAAAACTCTCAATAATTTCTAATGTGTTTGAAATTGTGTTTTTATTTCTATAGTATGTGGATTAAGATGCTACACATGCACAGCTGCCGATCCTAAATCCTGCATAGACACCAAAGCTTGTGCTCTCGCCTTCGACCGTTGTTTCTCTCTCAAAGTAGTAGGTGAGATGTTATCACATATCACAAGCTCTATCTAAAACTAAATGCTGAATGTCTGCTGGCTCTTGGTCACATCATGCTTTGTAAAGTTTCTGTCTGAGAATTTTCCCCTCATGTCTTACAGATCTTAATGTAGTTACAAAGGGCTGCCAAACCAGTGCATTATGTGTTGGGCCTGTGTCTTGCTGTGAAGGGAACCTGTGTAACAGCGCTATTCCAATTGGTCCCAGTGCCATCCTCCTGCTGGTATCTTCAGCCATCCTCAATTTTTTTTTCTGAGGCTGTGGAATGATGTTGTTTCCTTGCTGCACTGTTTTCCGACTCTATTTTGTATCAGTAGTGTCATGGTCCTGGGTCGTGTGATCCAGTGTTGAGGAGTTTTATGTATCTTTTGTTTTCATTTATGCTTTAGCTTAGTTCGTCTAGTTAATTTCTAGGGTGCTGTTTAGCCCTTTGTTTCTTAGTTGTTTATGTCATCTCCCTGTACTCAGTCTCCCTGGTTCGTGCGTCTACCTGTCATGCGTCATGTCTGCGGGGTTATGTTTAGTTCATGTCATGTCTAATCTCCATGTTTCCTGTTTTACTTTGAAACTCTGTATTCAATGTCAGTGTATTTAGTTTCACTTCTCCTGTCCTGTCTTTAGGTTCATGTGTGTCAGATGTGCTCCCATGTGTGGCCACTTCCCCTGATCATCCCTCATGTGTATTTAGTCTCTGTGTTTCATGCAGTCTGTGTCACGTCGTCTGTGTTCCCACCCTCCATGTCCTCACGGCCAGGCTTTACACTCATCATCATGGTCCTTTGAGTCTTCTTAGTTTATCAGTATCTGTTTCCCAGTTTAGTTAAGTTAAGTTTAGTCACGGTGTTTCTGCTTTGTGTGAGACCTGTCATCAGCCATAATAAAGGCTCGCTTTCAGCTTAAGTTTACTCCGGTCTACTCTCTTGTGTTCGCACCTGGGTCCACCACACACACCACCGCACAGTCTGTCTCCTCAGATCGTGACAAGTAGGGAAGAAAACTTTGAAGTGCCTGAAATAAAACTGCCATTGCTATTTTTATCTGTCATTCAGGGAAGTTGTGGGTTTGACCTATCAAAATACTGTATTGGTGAATGTAATGTATGTTTTCCTAAAGCAAATAAAAATACAGAAAATATATTTGCATATTTTTTGAATACTCTGAACTGTGTTTGGGATTATACCAAAATATTTTTGTTCATTTAATTTTACTACAGCCAATGAGGGCTCCGAGCAGAGGTAGTTTGCTCTGTAATGTTACCAGCTGGTTTAAAAAAAACAAATGTAAAAACTTTATGCTAATTTACAGAGTACTTCTTTTTTATACTTTAAGAGGAACTTAACACAAGGAAGTCCTGACTTCCTAAACATTGAAGGTTCAGATTTTTTGCTGTATTTATGTTATCTCTGATATATTTTTAAATAGTACACATTAAATAGAGCTGTTACAAACTAAAGATTCTTGGTTATCTTGTTTACAATTTTATTTTCAATCATTTGAAACTTATAAGCTGAATCATCACTGTATTTGACAATTACAACTTGCCATATAATTCTTCTAATTTTAGGGTGTAATCAGACAGTCAGTGACTCATTCAAGCTCTCTTTTTATTTAGTTTTTTTAAATATAAAACTTATTGTTGCAGCCAGGAGCTATACAAATGTGCCCCTCTTATACTGCCTTTAAGTCCCCAGCCCACTTTTCTCCACTGAGCTATCTCTTCTGTCACTAGTTAGCTAACATAAACTACTGTGAGTCTATCAGCAGCAACACAAAAGAGTAGTTCCCTTACATAAGTTAATGAGTTAATGAGACTCAGATCAGAGTTCAAGTCTAAGCAGTTTTCTTTTTTGTATATGAGAACTTATACTGATATTAAACATATTTTTTTAATACAATAAAATTCTATTTTATTGTGAAAATAACTATGTTATAAAATAACATAAATGCTGAATGTCTGCTGGCTCTTAGTCACATCATGTTTTGCGACGTTTTCTGAGCGTTTTCTCCTCATGTCTTACACATTTTAACGTAGCTTCACTGCCAAAACAGTGCAACATGTGTTGGCTCTATATCTTGCAGTGAAGGGGACCTGTGTAACAGCACTATTTCAACTGGTCCCAGTGCCATCCTGGGGCTGGTATCTTCAGCCATCCTCAAATTTCTTTTCTGAGGCTGTGGAATGATGTTGTTTCCCTGCTGCACTTCAGATTCTATTTTGTATCAGTAGAGCAGAAATAAACAACTTTGAAGTGCCTGATATGAAATAAGACTGTCACTGATATTTTCATGTATCATTCAGGGAAGTTCAGGGTTTGACCTATCCAAATACTGTATTGCGTGAATGTAATGTTTTCCAAAGTAAATAAACATGCAAACAGAACATATATTTGCATATATTTTGAATACTCTGAACTGTGTTTGGGTATATGGCAGAATCATTTAGTTTATTTAATTTTACTACAGTCAGTGGGGGCTCAGAGCACAGGTAGGCTGCTGTGTGATGCATTTTAAACAAAATAGAAGGAAACAAACTTAAAGTACTTCTTTGTATACTTCAACAGGAACTCAACATTAGGGAAATCCCCTCATAAATTTGTCCTAAATGCAAGAGTTGGATCACAGTTTTTAGTTGTAGGTGTTTTATCTCTAAGACATGTCAGAGTGATGCATGCAAACACAAAATAAAAAATAGTAAGGGAGGAAATACTTGTTCACAGCACTGTATGCTTCATCCAGGAAATTAGTGGACTGAAGTAACCTGAGTAGAAATGCAGCACACTTGAACAGGTTGAGCTCAGACTGGCTGCTTGTCATTTAGCTGGGGTCTTCAGCCCTTGACTGTAACGTTGTCTGTGATATGGCCTATGCAACCATGAGTGGCAAAGTTTATTTACAGCACTGATAATGTCATGTGTATCCACCAGGGGAAGCAGTGTGGAGCCCATTAATTTAAAGCCTCGCTAACTTTATAATTATACTAAGGCTGCAAAAATGTATTAAGTACATCAGGTAACTTGATGATTTTATTTTTTTTGCTGCAGTTCTTCTGTAGCACTTTGTCATCACCACATAAACACAACATTTGCGACTAAAAATAGACCTGTAGTAGAAACTTATCTAGGAGCATGCGTGAACTTCAACATTAAGCTCAGCCAGGCCCCAGTTTTTAAACAAAATGACTGATGACAGTAGTGTAAAGTGGTCTGAGGGGTTAAATAAAAACGCCACCTAAGGGAACTTCACCCCCAGAAAATATATATTAAAAAGAGATAGAAACAAATAAAGAGGGCTCACACAAGTTCAAGCATGCACACTGTTGGCTCAATATTAATACAATTGTATTTATAGTCAGGAGGATAAACAAGGAATAAAAAACAATAGCAAACACTGAATGTAGCATTGTCTTTGACAAAATCACACGGGAAAATCACCACAGCCTAGACACCCAGCGCTACACAAATAAAAGAAGTGTGTGGAAACGACTCACCACCTACGGTCCCAGGGACACTGGCGGATCCTCCATTCACTAAAAAAAAGAAAAGCACAGGACCAGTGTTGGTCAAGTTACTTGAAAAAAGTAATTAGTAATTAATTACTGATTGCTTCTCCCAAAAAGTAATCCCTTTACTTTACTGATTACTTATTTTTAAAAGTAATTAGTTACTTAGTTACTTTTTAAAAACATGATACACAACCTGAATAGGTAATAAAGCTATAGACCTTTAGCCCAATTATATTTTTTATGCATACTCCATCATATAAAATGTAATCAAATGGAAAAAGTCTTTTTTCAATCTTTGTTTTATTAGTTTTAATCTTTTAACTTAATGCAAATTGCATCAAGCAAAAATTTATTATATACAACAGTCTTTGACTTGAAGAAATTGTTGATCTATTTTCTGCATATTCCAGCATATAAGATAAAATATTTTTTGCATTTACACTCACTCTTTCAAATAGATGCAAGTAAAACATCCATCCATCCTCTTTCGCTTTATCCGGGGCCGGGTCGCGGGGGCAGCAGCCTAAGCAGAGAAGCCCAGACCTCCCTCTCCCCAGCCATGTCCTGTAGCTTATCCGGGGGAACACCAAGGCGTTCCCAGGCCAGCCGAGAGATATAATCTCTCCAGCGTGTCCTGCTTGTTTCCCTGGGGCCTCCTCCCGGTGGGACATGCCCGGAACACCTCGCCCAGGAGGCATCCTTATCAGATTCCCGAACCACCTCAGCTGGCTCCTTTCAATGTGGAGCAGCAGCGGCTCTACTCTGAGTCTCTCCCGGATGGCTGAACTTCTCACCCTATCTCTAAGGGAGAGGCCAGCCACCCTTCGGAGGAAGCTCATTTCAGCCACTTGTATCCGCAATCCTTTCTTTCGGTCACTACCCACAGCTCGTGACTATAGTTGAGGGTAGGGGCGTAGATCGACCGGTAAATTGAGAGCTTCACTTTTACACTCAGCTCCCTCTTTACCATGACGAACTGGTGCAGCGTCCGCATCACTGTAGCCGCAGCACCAATCCACCTGTCGATCTCCAGATCCCCTTTCCCATCACTCATGAAAGAGGCCCCGAGATACTTGAACTCCTCCACTTAGGGCAGGATCTCGTCCCTGACCCAGAGTGGGCACTCCATCCTTTTCCGGCTGAGAACCATGGCCTCAGATTTGGAGGTGCTGATCCTCATTCCCGCTGCTTCACACTCGGCTGCAAACCGTTCCAGTGCGAGCTGGAGGCCCTCACCCGATGAAGCCAACAGAAGCACATCATCCGCAAAAAGTAGAGATGAGATTCTGAGGCCACCGAAGTAAAAGCCCTCCGCCACTTGGCTGCACCTAGAAATCCTGTCCATAAAAATTATGAACAGAACCGGTGACAAAGGGCAGCCCTGGCGGAGCCCATCACCCACCGGTATAGCTCCCCACACACTGGAACTGGCAACTGAAGTGATTCAGGGTTCCCATTTTCTGCAAGTAAAACACAGCAGAAAATAAATAAAATCAAAGACTCACCATGAACGTGGCATGCGCTTACGTCATTGTCATAAGACACTCTCGCAAACAAAATCAAGGTTTAGTAACGCTTACGGAGAGTAACAGTAATCTAATTACCTTTTTTGCAATAGTAATCCCTTACTTTACTCGTTACTTGAAAAAAGTAATCTGATTACTGTAACACATCACTGCCCATCACTGCACAGGACACAACACATTAAAAGGATAAAAGGGCACTGAAAATTAACAAAAGAAACTTCAATTCTTCGATAAAACAGATTAAACACGAACACACAGCGAAGACTGGAGGACTTGATAACATAAGACACACAAACATGAAACACATAAAGGGTGAGGTAAACTTCAATACAGGGGTAGAAAACACGAGGGGCATCTAATAAACAAGTGAACTTGGCAAACCTAATGAACTTAAACATAAACATCATCATCAAAAAGTTTCGTCTGCCAAATAATTATTTTAGTTGTTGCTGAACTTTTACATAGGTAAAATTCAGAGTACTCTGATTTCAAGATAGGATTATAAAATCATCATTTTGTTCTAATTTCCCAGATGAAAACTTAAAACATGTC